CCCCCCCCCCCCCCGCCAAGAAAAGAAGCCTGCTCCAGCCATCCCAGCCAGAACAAAGTTCTCTGGCATGCTACCCCTGCAGCCCTTGACGCCACCGGCCATGTGGTTAGCGATCGGTGTATACAGCTCTCTCTCCACCTGTCCGCCCCTTGGTGCTGGGCTGGGTTGAGGACGAGTGTGGTAGGCCAGGTAGAACGGAGAGGGTGCCGTGTCAGGGGGAAGGGATAGGCTGGGTTCAAATGTCAGGGCTCCCGCTTCTGAGCCGTGTGGGCAACCCACATAACGTCTCCTGGTCTCCGTGTCTTATCCGTAAAATGGGGTGATGTCCTGAGTGCCGGTTCTACGCCACACACTAGGGATTATTGTGAGCTCGTGCCTGAGCGGGATCACACCCGGGGAGCTGCCTTTGTACCCTGCACGTAGTAGGTACGAAACACAAGCGTCCGTAGAACGAGCCGGTGTGTACCTGCCCTCGGGTCACCGTTGGGTTGGGAAGGGCAAGAAAAGGGTGGAGATGCCGATCAGTGTGCAGGGCAGGGGGTGGGGGGATGAGGGCATAGGAGGCCTCCAGCAGCACTTGGGGGCTGGGGAAGGCCTGGGCTGGAAGCAAGCTGGGCCAGCTTCAGGCCTCTGCCTGCCTGCTGCTGCTGCTGGGACCTCGTCAAGCAGGGCGTCTGCTGTTCTGTGCTCATCCAGGACTTTTCTCCTTGCCGCCTTTTCCGTAGCGGAATACCCCCTGCAGTTGCTACACAGCCCCCCCGCCCCGGTGGTGAAGAGGCCCGGGGCTGTGGCTGCCCATCACCCCCTGCAGGTACCGCCCAGCACCCCGGCCCTCGGCTGCCTCCCTTGCCTGTGACCGGGGTTGGGGGGGGGGGTGGTGGCCGTGCTCCCCTTCACCTGTTCCCGCTGTCTCTTCCTTTCCTGCCGCACCCTTGTCTGTTCCGGGTAGGTTTATCTTTCTGTCTGTGGCCACGTGTCCCCTCTTGTGCCTCCGTGGGGGTTGTCTCAGCCTCTGGTCTCTGGGTCTCCCGCAGGAGCCCTCCCAGCCCCTGAACCTCACAGCCAAGCCCAAGGCCCCCGAGCTGCCCAATGCTTCCAGCTCCCCCAGCCTGAAGATGAACTGTGGACCCCGCCCCCCCAGCCATGGGGCCCCCACACGGGACCTACAGTCCAGCCCGCCCAGTCTGCCATTGGGTAAGCTTTCTGCCAGGGGTGCGTGATACGACCTTGGGCATGTCCTTCCCTTCTGCGGGTTACAGTTTCTGTAAAACAAGGGGTGAGACCTGCTGTCTTTGGCCTCTTTTAGTTTCTCCACTGTCTCAGAAGATCCCCTGCTTCCTCTCCCCGACCCCACATCTGGCTGGGCACCCCCACCTCAGGGCTCTAGGCCACTGAGTTGCACAATTTCAGGGAGTGCGATTCTATGTTCTAGTGTCCTGGCCCAGTGCACCACAGTCAGTGTAAACAGCGCCCCCTTGGGCATGTGCAGGGTAGCTGTCCGGGAGGGGCAACAGGCAGCACCAACCCCGTGAATAACTCGGAGTGACCTGGTGTGAACCCGGCTGACCCCCTCTGCTCCCCCGCCCCCCCTTTCTCCTCCTCCTCCCCCCCCCTTTCCCATAGGCTTCCTTGGTGAAGGGGACGCTGTCACCAAAGCCATTCAGGATGCTCGACAGCTGCTGCATGGCCACAGTGGGACCTTAGAGAGCTCCCCCAATACCCCCTTCCGCAAGGTATGGGGGGGCCCCCCTGCACTGGGGCAGGGCGCAGGGAAGGTTGGGGGCTGGGGTTGAAGACTCGGTCTGAGTCTACTAGAGGGATGGCTGTGGGGTGATGCAGAGGGGCCGATGTACAGATTTCGTCTGTCAACCCCAGGACCTCATCAGCCTGGACACGTCCCCGGCTAAGGAGCGGCTGGAGGAGAGTTGTGTGCACCCCCTCGAAGAAGCCATGTTAGGCTGCGACATGGATGGTGAGGGCCCAAGCCGTCGGGCTGATGGGCGGGAGGGCCCACGTCTGCTTCCTACAGGGGCCAGGGTGGGTCAGGTTGTGTCTCTCCCCAGTGCCTTTTCTCCCATAGTCTGTCTCTGAGGTCCCCTCCTGTGTCTGTCCCTTGTCAGTCTCTGGGTCCCTGGCTGGACCTCTGCTGAGGTCTTGCTTCCAGTGTCCCTGGCTGCGTGGGAGCCTCCCCGTCACCCCCAAGTGGTCAAGTAAGGGAGGTCTCTGCCAGCCCTACCCCAGAGGGGCTGCGCTGCCTGGCTGACTCCACCCCTGTCCCCCAGGCTCCCGCCACTTTCCTGAGTCCCGGAACAGCAGCCACATCAAGAGGCCCATGAATGCCTTCATGGTGTGGGCCAAAGATGAGCGAAGGAAGATCCTCCAAGCCTTCCCGGACATGCACAACTCCAGCATCAGCAAGATCCTTGGTAAGGGCCAGTGGGTAGGGGCTCTCGGGGCTCCAGGGGCCATGCCAGCAAGACCTGGGGGCAGGAGCCAGCTGGGTTTACCTGGGGCTTGCTGGGCGACCGTCCCCGTCACGCTGAGCTCCAGAGGAGTCTGGTGGGGTGTGGGGGTCAGGCAGGAGGACGTGGGGCACCTGGGTCCTGGGGTGTCATACCATTGTAGGGTTGTTCTGCACCCCAAGAACCGAGGAGTGTGGTACATGTGTATATATTCTTTAGCCCCTGATCTCTCCCTAAGCTGTTCTGTTTGCCTGGACCTTTGGAGCACTGGCTCTGGCAGGAAACCGGGAAGATTGGTGTTCTTGGGCTGTCCCTAGAAAAGTGTTTTGT